TATATATGTGTATATATGTATATATGTATATATATATAATATATATATATGTATATGTATATATATGTATGTATATATATATATGTATATATATATATGTGTATATATATATGTATATGTATATTATATATATGTATATATATATATATATATGTATATGTGTATGTATGTGTATACACATACATATACAGTATATACATATATTCATATATAAATATGTATATATACATATATACTCATACTGTACATTTATACATATACATATAAATATAAATATACATATATATATACATATATATACCTATATGTATAAACATATACATACATCAAGATCTGATGTCAGCCAAGAAGTTATTTAGCCTTTCGCAAACAAAGCTGCATGTTTAACTAACAAACAAAGACAAATGATATACGTAATTATAATGCACCTTTGGAAAAATATTTCTTTGCAATGAAATACTTCTATGCAACAAATTCCATTCACTCACCAAACTGTCTACTTATATCATAAACATCTACATAAATACCTTCATAATTACAGTACAAAATATTTCAAAAAGTTGGGTACACAATAAACATTACAACAACCATATTTCCTTTAATATCACTGTACACGACATCACACCTTTCCTAACTGTTAAGTGAACATAACAAAAAAGGTCTATGATGATGCATACAACAACTGTAACTTTAAAAGTTTTTCTTTATGCTCAATACACATAAACAACACTCCACACAACCTCCATCTACCGACAGCACTTAAACATTGCCAGCTATTGTCAAGTGGGCTATTGCATCATTGATGTTCTCGTTAAATGAAGAAAGACAAATATTTTAGAAATTTAAATAAATTTATAATACTAAAATATTATACAAATATTGTAAAGATTAAGAAAAAGTTAATATTTAAAAATTCTAATACAAAGTTACGATTTAAGTGTTGTGTTAAAATCATTAAAGGCGAACTTTTGCTGAAATCTACAATGCTTCTTAACCTACATATGCATGTTGTCAAAAGAGTGGGTTTAATTAAGGTGTATAATAGGAAGTCAGAATATAAACTATCTTTATTGAAAAGCTAGATAAAAGTCCAACCAACATTGCGCACCCCACTGCCCACCCCACTTTAACAATGATAGTCTATTATGGTGGTTTATAATAATAATATTAAAAACTTTTTTTAACTACGGAAACACTTGTTCACCGCAATGGTGTTTTTCAACAAGGCCGTAAAGGCATTGTACAACAACAAAACAGAAATTAAAACAAAAAGGTAAAAATAGACTTATTAAAAAAAAAAAGAATATCACATTAGGGCCTACTGAAAGAAACTTAACTACATTAACTAAACTGAATTATCGTGAATAAACTTACATCATTAACTATAATACTCTAATTGATTTTTATTTTCATTTTAAAATTGGAAATTGTATTTGAGTTTTTGAGGTCATCACTAAGTTTATTCCATAATTTAGCACCTCTGTATGATAAGTTACGTTTTTTATAATCTGTTCTTGGTTTGGGTAGTGTTAAATGATTTTCAGATCTGGTGTCATAGGGACATTCTTTAATATGGAATCTGCTTATTAGGTAAGTTGGTGCTAAATTATTGGTAATTTTGAACATAGTGATGGCCTCATTCTGATACAGCCTCCTCTCAAGGTTATCTAAGTTAAGGCTCTGTAAGGCACTCACTCCTAGTCCTCCTAGTTATTATTTTGGCAGCTCTGTTTTGCATGACCTGAAGTTTGTAACTTTGAGATGCATTTGAGCGCCCCCAGACAACATGACAATATTCAAAATAGGGAGCAAATAGTGATTTATACATTGTGCATTGAATATCTTTTGGTAAAATAGAATTTGCTTTTTTCAGGTAGTAGAGTCCTTGCAGAGCCTTACCTTTTACATATTCAGTATGGTAATTCCAAGAGAGGTTATCATCAATTATGATACCAAGGTGTTTGCAATGCTTAACAGTTTGATCTTTTGCCCATCAATATTTAAATTTAACTCCAAATCATTAATTTGTACAAGTTTCTGAGAAGTACCTATGACCATATACTCAGTTTTCTCTACATTTAAGGTAAGTTTATTTCTAATGAGCCAGTTCTAATGTTATTTAGGTTTAACATTGAGAGTTTCAGCTACAGCATTTATATTGTCAGATGTTTATGTCCTGATGGTTAATTGTCCTAGGTGGTTTTTGTCCTACACACATTTACATTATGCATTATAAAACTTCACAATCACTGTTATTTATTATTTGTAATTGAAATTAGGGACAAGCCCAGAAATTAAAACTGTTTCAATTAACAAATTTGTAATGAAAATATATACTGTAATTGTTATGTAATTGTAGTAAAAGTGTACTCTATTAATGTAATGTAGTGTTTAATAAATTTTGTTAGAATAATAAAAATACTACAATATATTTTTAAAATTGAATGCAAATAAATAATATAAAATATTAAAAAATAATATCATTATCATTAAAAATAATAACAACAATAATGGTAAGAACACAAGCTAAAAACAAGTCTATGTGGTAGGCCTAGGCCTACACCAAATTATATATTACACTTTCTACATTTCTAATGTAGAGTACTGTTTAGTATGCCTTTTTATTATTTTAATCCTTTTACCGCAATGTAAATAACTTTGTGGTTATTGTTATACCAGTCGTAAACCAATTCCTGTAACTGTAGGCTGATATTTTTATGTTTATGTGTCATACCATAAAAGAAATGCATTGATGAAGATGATACACCTTTCTCAAAAATACATTAATTTATTAATTTTGGAAATAAAAACTAGTCATAATTTAAACATGTTGCTTTGCTTTTTATTGGAAATATTTCTTGTTAATTCTTCCATTGAACTTAGTCTTTAGCCAAATTACAACCTCCGCATTTGTGGAGATTTGTTTTTTAATTATTCCATTATTTATTTAGGAATCACTGGTGAGGATTTCAGAGGAATATTATCCTCTATGTCAGGATGGTTTGATCGCCATGGTTACATCAATATGCTGAAAGTTTTGTACAGAGATCTCATAACTGTACCTGATAAGCTACATGCTGCCACCAGTGTGATGGAATTGTTTGAATTACTATGTACCAATGGACATCTGAGTTCTTCCAATCTAACTGTCCTATATGATACTATCAACCTAACTAAGCCATTTGGTTTAGAACCAGAAATAAGAAAGTTGTCAATGGCAACACTCTTTAATATCAGGATAATCAATATATCAAAATTTACAAGTAACAGACAAAGCTTGATAAAGGTTGTTGAAAGTCTCAGTGACAGTGATGTCAAGAAGATCTCAAAACTATACAATTGTTCAGAAGATGCTGACAAGTGGGAATTATTGGTGGAGTTGGAACAAAGTGGCAATATTTGTGAAGAAAACTTGGATGACTTTATGAAAACAATAACGACATATCTAATTAAACATTCGAACAAGGATCCTCTAGATTTGAGAAACAAGAATGTAGCTACAAGAGAAGCTAGTTTAAGAACATCCACAGGTAAGCATTCTTAATACATAGGTTGGATGTTTACATGCACCTGGTCTTTGTTTAATTGTGAAACATTGGATATCATAATGTCAGCATTTTTGTAAGTTTACTTTAATTGATATTGTTTAGTAAGTAATTACCAGTTTAGTAAGTAATCCAGGCTTTAGAGTATTTTTTTTACATATATTTCTATTATTAGCTGTAATGGAAAATTTTCTCAAAAAATTACCAGGAAAAAATTTATTACCAAAAAAGCCCTGTTTTTTTTGGACAAAATACATCATTTTTTAATTTGAAGGCCATAAAATGTTTTAATACTTGCAAATGGGCTAAGATGTCATTAGAAATCACAAACAAATATATATGTTTTTTTACTTAATTTTACTTTAAAAACAATGGTTTTGGTAAACTTTCTTTGCAAAAATAAGGAAATAATCCATTGCTCCTTTTAGCCCACTCTCTGAGAGAGAGGGCTTATATGATGATTCTGAGCGAATTTTGAAGTCATTTGTTTTTCTATCTCCTCCTTTGTTTGTGACGCGATTAGGCCGATCTTGCAATAATATGGAAGATAAGGCGTGGGGAATTTAAAGTATGAAGAGTTTTTGCGAAAATATTGTCGGGAAATATGTGAAAAGTATGTTTTTTTAAT